CTTGAAGTCAAATTAAACGGAGGATAGCACAAACTTCATCATGATACTTTGTCAACTTAAATAAAAACGTACTTTTTTCATCTCCTTCCCGCCTTTTCCTCGAAATAATCATTTGTTTTTAACGGATGTGATCTGTCATTGCTGGCTTTTCATTGGATGTTGGCCGATTTTTCACCGATTTTGTAATCAGAATTGGTTTACCCATCAAATTGCAACCTGTGAAATATGGTATCTGGAAATAAAAATTCAAATAAAAACTTGATTTTCAACGCAAAGCATCATTAATCGAGCGTGTTTCAAAGTTCTGATCTGATTTGATAAGCTTGTTATTTATCTTAACTGTTCGTAGTCTATGTTGTCAAAAACACCATGGTCACCTAGGAGGTCTTCTTTGTGGATTTGATGCTATTGAAAATACGCCTGAACACCACAAACATACAGTGCATTTTTGCACCAAAGTTTTTACATAATTGTTTAAAATTTGCATAAAACTTATGAGCAATATGACTCTGAAGTCAATTATTTTTCCGATAATTTCTCAGCGCGTTTGTATGTGCTTGCAAGGTTTGTTTATTCACTTCTCTGTGCTTACAGTGAGTTGGATTTGGAGTTAAGTATGAGATAAAGTCAAGACTGGATATCCTTTCCAAGTTACAAGACGTCTTTTCCAATACTAATATAGCATCGTCTGTGGAGAAAATATTTTTCAATTCTGCTGTGTTACCACTTCTGTTATTTGAAAGGGGAAGATGAAATACCATGCTTGCTGAAGAGGAACACTTGGCGGTGACCCAACAAGGCAATTATTAAAACCTGATTCGATTTAGCCGAGTTCGGAGGCGAGTTACAGTGATTGTGGTGTGCTCTTCTCGGATAACGAAGTAGCAGTAAGGATGGGGGAGGGGAAAGGACGGGGTGTGGTGATGTAGGTCTTGAGGGTTAGAAACAAAGAGTAGGGACGGGGTTATTGGCTGGAAAGGAGCTGAGATCTTGTTTGGAGGTAAGAACTGGAAACAAATATGATATCTACTGGGGAGAAGGTTTATATGGATTTATGATGCTGAGCAAGAATTGTGCTCGGCTATGAGCTTTGCGGCTTGCACTCAAACCCGCAAATGAGTGCAGTTTGCTCTGCCGAGCCGAGTTTTAGTAACTGCCTCCAGTGAGCTGTGTAAAGAAGCATAGCAGATGTCAGCAAGTTGCAGCACATCTCCAATGAATTATTACAAGTTCATGTCGCGAGTGAACGATTTTTGATGACGACGACTCGCTTCTTGTAATAATTCCAAAGAAAAGTTGATTGAAAAAAACACTGTAACGAATTCATGTGCTGTGGCACATGAATTCATCGATTGTGTGATGTGTTGTGGTATTTTTTCTGGATCACAAAGTGCATTCGTATTGATGCTGCTGGAAGGTGGGCTGCTTCCAGTGCGTCGTCTTGTAACCACTGCTGTTGCCTCAGCGTCTTCCTCAGCAATTATGGAGACGATCAAGGAGCAACTTGGTGTGAATACCATCGAGCAATTGCATTCAGGATTCGCAGGTGGCTGCATTAACAGGGCTGCAGCATTCAGAACCGATAAGTATGGCGATATTTTTGTGAAATTCAATGATAATGAAAAGGTCATTTTTTTGCACAGTATGCAAGTGCAAAAGCGCATATTGTCGAGAGGCTGTCCTTCTCTCTCTGTATATGTGTGTGCTGTGTGTGTGCATGTGTGTGTGTGTGTGTGTACTGTCTGTGTGTGGATGTGTGTGCGTGTTGTGTGTATTGTGTGTGTGTGTTTGGAAAAACGAATGAACTTCATTACCCAATTACAACTCAGCGGTTGGAAAGCTGGGAGGCTGAAATTTTGGGAGCAAATTCTCATCCTGTGTGTTGCCGTTGCATTTTAATACTATCGCGCATAAGCGCCTAGATCTTACGTACAGGACCCTTAACAAAATAGGCAAATTTTTGTTCTTATTGATTAATTTCTTAGTGAGCATTTATTTGTTCGGCAATAAAAGCACATAATGGTATCTGAATAGGCAGCTTCCCTGTGTTCTTTTTGAATTTGCTTGGGTGCCATGCAATAATTTACACATGCAGGAGGCTAAATGGCACTTCCACTGTTTTCATTAATTATCAAAACCAAACAAACTGCGTTTGTTAACACGTAGAAAATTTCAGGCCCCGGTCCTCTTCCAACAGCTCCTAGCCAGGGATATTCATTGTTTGCATCCTTAAAATTTCTGAAAATTGCAATGAAACGCGCAAGTGTTATCAAAAATTCTAGCTGGTCAGAACGAGGAGGCTTAACTATATTTGGGAAAAGGAGACAAAGGTGAAGGAGAACAAAGATTCCATAAAATGCGAAAACATTTATCAATTATGGCTTTTACTAAAGCATTTTTTCAATTTTTTCCCTATTCTGTTTGCATTGCCACCCTTTTCCCATAATTACATCTCGCTCTCATATCATTGATTTCTGACTTTTATTTGCTATGTAGTAATGATAATTTGTGCCACAGTCGTTGTACTGACGAAGTCCAGTTGTCGCATTAAGATATACATATATACACATATATGTACATATATATATTGGCGGACCGAGATGAGTTAGTATTGGCTAAATTGCTGGTTTTCGTGCATTTTCTAGGTCTGGGATTTTAGTATTTTCGGTTTACTTCACTATGAACTTACTCTTGGAGTAGCGTTTATAAATCTGCTTAAGCCTGGTATCTTAGCATCAGTTTCCATTTCTTACCTTTTTCTCTTATTTTCTTCCCTAATAAATTTGAGAAACAAAAAAATACAGAAAAAAAAATGATACAACCAAGATGGTTTAGGCGGCGGAAATGTTTGATGGGGAATTTGCAAGCTTGGAGGCGTTAATGAACACGAAGACAATTCGAGTGCCAAAACCGATCAAGGTAACTATCTTGTGGTACTTTCCAAAAAATAATTGGTGGGATTTATATTCAAAAGAGGAAACCATCAATAGTTTTGTTGGCGGGTGGTTGGTACTGATATTTTGCTGCCACTCTGGCTGCTTTTGTGTAGCTCCTGCTCTTAAAAATAGCAAATAATTAAAGAATTGTGGCCTTTCGTTTAAAAACTCTTACTAGTTCTAGAGATTCTCGGTGGGCGACGAGCAGTGCTTAGCAATGGAATTCTTGGATATGAGTGGTCCATCGAATTCGGAGCAGCTTGGCACAGATGTTGCAAGGTTTGATGAAATAGTAAATCCAGCTTCTGACGGAAAAAACATCACTTTCGCTTTTCCTAAATACCTTCAGTTTTTTTAAGCAGAAGTCATTTTTAATGCCACAGATTTTTAGACCCTGATGTTCAAGTACCTTCCAGTTAATTTTGGAGCTATTACGGCTATAATTTGCAATTTTCGAACTAAATTTTATGCCCATTTTTGCGAAATTTTGTGACTATGCTCTTCCGGGTTGAGATCTGCTCTCGGTGATCCTGTTTTTAAATTTATTCTTTTGTGGAACAATTTTATCACTGAACTTAAGGCTAGTGACAAAAAGAATGGAATAAATTTTCTTCGTTTTCCTCCTTTTTCCTCCCTTCCTCTTTCCTATCAGGTAGGTACCTCACTAGCTTGAGGAAACAGAAAATCTCAAAAATACTATTTTGAATGCGGCTAAATTATAGTTTTTTGCACAACTGCGCTCTTTATGTGATCTCCAATTGCGCCTGACGCATCAATTTTTATCAAACTTCCTGGCAGGATGTAACGAGATGAAAAATCGGTACAGACGAACACACAGACACGCACACAGACAACCTCTCGTCAGTATGCGTTTTCTGCATTGCATGGCTGCAAAAAACGCATAAAAATTAAGAGCAGCATATCTTTAACTTTACCATGCAACTAAATTTATTTTGGCCAATGCTAAAATAAGTGGTGGTCATCCTTCTGGCGATTTTGATGTTCATTTCGTTTCCTGAAGGAGATTACCAGCACAGTGATTCTTTGAAACTTGCCGCTTAAAAAACTTCGTTTCGTCTTTTGAAGAGATTGGTTCAATGCTTTCGTGAAGCATCGCTTATCTTACTAATTATATAGTTTTTATAGGTTGCATTTGCATAATAAACTACAGATGGAAGCGTCTAGAGAGGCTGATTCTCGAATTACAAGCACAGCGAAACAACTAGAACCCGTGGAACGATTCGGATTCCATATACTTACATATAGCGGTTACTGTCCACTCATCAATGATTGGTCCAATAATTGGGTGGTATTTTTTTTCAAATATTTTTTGACATGTTTATGTAAATTAATGCGATGGGCACTAACTGGAGATATGTAGAACAGGATCGAAGGGCATGGCATAGCTGCTCTTGGCGCATGCAAGCATCTCTGTAACATCGCTGAAATGGGGTGCTCACATCAATTTTCCCATGAAGTCTTATGAACTTTTTTGCATAAACATATTCAAAACAAAATTGTAATGGTTAACTTATTGTCTTGAAAAATGTTACAAGTGTAAAACTAAAATTTTCAAGAAAAAATTAAAATTGAAACAAAACTAAAACTCTCTAAAATTCAAAAAATGAAAACCAAAGAATTTTTTAAGTGATAAGTTCTCACTGTTTAATCTTAGTCTCATTATCTATTTACTGGATATTCGCTAACTGCTCCAGCTCGGGGAAAGAAATGCTTGTTTCCCGAATTCTC